TGTCCAAGGAACTTTGGACAGATGTTCTCCAGGGAGATGAGCGATGCAGCAAACTTGTTCGCTGACGTGGCATTGCATCGGATTAAGTGTTGTAAAGTCGAAACTGATGTCATAAAGTTGAAACAGAGTGTCAATTTATAAACATTGTATGTGTGAAATGTTGTAACTTGGAATGTAAGTCAAGGATTGCCTGTATAAGTGTACATGTTCGGTGGCATGTTATGATCAAATTTTTAAGTGTACATGTTTGGTGGCATATTTCAATTTAAACGACTTTTTTACGTAGCAAACTAAAACACATTGCATGTATTTTAGTTTGCTATGTAACAAATTACAGTGATATTCCTTACATGTACAAGGGCCCTATCAGGAGAAGGCAGTAGGGATGATGCATGGTCGCTGGAAGCTCAGGTGTGCTCAGGAAAGCTCAGGTTTGGTGGGCTTTCAGTCCCCTGTGCACCATTTCCGCCGCCTTCTCTGGCTGCCAGCAGACCCAGCTGCCCTCCTGCCACCTTCCCGGGGCAGCCAGCCCATCCCAGGCAGTCCCAGGTGGTGGGAAGGTAGCAGGGGTGGTTCATGTGGCATTGGAAGCCCACCATTACAATAAGTGAATGACCACATTATTTTCCATAAGGTAATAAACACCAATATCAGTGCAATAAAGTAATAAATACCAAATGACCAGCAGAGACCTTTTAAAGAGAGTTCCTGAACAAAAAGCAATTTATTTAAGACTTGACTGTTAAGCGTTGGAGGAGTAATTGGAAATTAAGCCACAGATACTGAAGATGAGATGAGTAATGAACAAACCAGGCAATTGATGCTAAGTTCCAGAATGAAAAATCTTCAGGAAAAGGATTAGGTTGCCTCATAGAAATTTTTGACTAACACAACAAGGCATTGGAACATTAGTAAAATTTAAAAATGTGTATTATTTCTAATAATCCACCCAAAGTGCATTGAGTCCAACTCCATTTCCTAGTCCCATTGTGGGACTTGTGTGTTGGGAACTTTAAGAAACCTCTCTATAGCAGGGTAAATTTCATCCACTGAGCATTCTCTCCCCTTGACTGATTTCAACAGGCAGATCTGATCTGAATGGAATGATGAACATGTAATCAGTACAGCGGCAGGTGTTAGAAATACTTCACTCTCATCTGGTTAGATGTGTAAACTTCAGTGTTGATTTTTAAAAGAGTGGATTAGTTCTCTGCTTGTTATTATTTATTAAAACTTACAAATAATTAGCTGTGGTTAAGGAGATATTAGAAATAAACTTGGCTATCTATACTTACACTTGATAAAGGAAAGCCATGAGAACTCCAGAGACTGGGAAAGAGGGTTTGGAACACGATTCTAATTATTAGTTTACAATTCATTTAAAAAAATGCAGCAGCTTGCATTTATTCATTTTAGTAATGTATGACAGGTAATTCTGCCTGTTAAAAAAAAATTGCATTTAAATTTTACTAATTGTTGCACTTGTTTTTCTTTTTCCAATTAACTATATTTTTAGATACTGAAAATGTTTAAAGAATTCATTTTATAATTACAGTAAAGCATATGAAATTTCATAGTACTAGTAAATAATACATCTAGACATAAATTATTAGTTTTAGCCCATTCTCTTATTACACAGAAACCACCTACAGAAAACTTAATTTAGGAGTAATTAACTAATTTTCCATCATCTAAAACACTGAGTATATTTATATAATTATTAATAAAGCACTGTATTTGGGAGGATCAGTATGCATAATACCCTTTTCAAATGTATCAGAAATACCTGGCTTTAACTTTGTCTGCACCCCCCGCACTTCTCAGCTGTGTATGATCCTCTAATGCAGGGGTTTTCAACCTTTTTTAGCAAGTGTACCCTTTCTGGTGGTGGCAGCCGGGGGTGTTGGTCATATGTGGCAGCCACTACCACCACCCACTGCCCTGTGTTGTCACTGCTGCCACCCACGGCCCTGTGCTGCCACACCCCGCTTTCCCACGGCTGGTTGCAGGTGCGGCTCTGTGGGCTGCTGATGGGCCTCGTGCCTGGCCAATCGTGCACCGCTCATGAGCAGCCTACAGAGCCGCATGTGCAACCAGCTGTGGGAAAGCAGGGTGGTGGTGGCCACTGTGTGCAACTACCCCCCGGTTGGGCTGGGCAGCCCCTGTATGGCCTGCAGAGTGGCGCTGCTGCTCTCGCCTCCCTGGGAGTGGGCACAGAAACACACTTGCCTTCCCTGCCATTGAGACCCTTGCGGCAGCCTGGTGGCCAATCTGGAAAGCGAGCTGGGGTGGGGGGCAGGGAGGCGCTGTGTGGGGCCAGCGGTGCCAGGTACACCCCTCCCCCAGGTAAGAGGCAAAAGTGCCTGGGGAGATGCCGCTGCTGCCCCCCAGGGTGCGCTCTGTCCCTGTCTGCCCACCTGTGTGTACCCCGAAGACCTTTCTAAGTGCCCCTAGGGGTATGCATACCCCCAGTTGATAACCTCTGCTCTAATATGCTAAGCAGGATGCCTTGAGGTCCTTTCAAGGGTGCCATAGGGTACCACTGTTAAGTGTGCAAATGTGATTCACAAGATAAACCAAGAAATTTCAAAAAGGAATCCATAGGGTTGAAAACCTTTTGCCCTGTTGTGGTCTTGCTATGTTCTATACAACAAAATAATTGTTCTATTATTTCTCTGTAGTCAAAAATGAGTGAAAACTAAGAACATTTCCTGATGAGTGCCTTAAGCTTAACGTGGTTGAGAGGTATTGCTCCAAGGTCTACGCTTTGTTTTAAGGAAAAGATAGTGCTTTCATATCAACCCCACTTACAGCTAACAATTTTTCATTTAGACAATTAGATACATTAGAATGTTGATTCCTGGCTCTAATTTCCTGCTTAACTTTGGAAAGTTGTAACATTTTCCTTTCAGTGCTAAACACGTCTAATTTATAATCCCTTATCGCAGTTCAGATTCCAGCAATATCCTCACTCCGGAGTAAAGACAAGTCCCTCTGCTCTAATCTGGCTAGTTCTCAGCACATTACTTACTCTGGGAAGGAACTTCATTTTAAGAAATAGGGATATTTGATTAAGCACAATTTATACTTGGGGAGAAAAAACATACTGACAAAGAAATCTCAGAAAATGAACGTTACACAAAAGTCAAGACTGATTTATTACCACAAACGGAAAAAAATGTAATTATGAAAAGGGTCTCTGAACTGAAGAAGTGGGATTATCCAAGTAGCCTAGTGCAGTGGTTCTCACTCAGCCTTTCGCATCTTATGTCCCACCAACCTTTTTGTCAAAAAACCCTGGTCCCACCATGATAAAAACAAAACCCCACTGTTCCAGATTCATCTCTTTGAAGTGCAAACTTTGATTTTTTTCAATCGGGAAACGAGTTGAAGTCCCACCTACGCCACCTTTGCCTCCCACTGCACGGGACGCCTGGATCGATGTCTTCGTGTCCCGCCACCGGTTTCTCAGCCAGGCGCCTCCCACTGGTTGAGAAACACTGGCCTAGCGGAGAGCGGTGCCCCAACCCCGCTGAGTTCCCGCGGGAGGGGGCTGGCTAACATTTTGAACATCCCAGCTGAAGAAGATACTCCTTCGCAAACATCGTTTTAAATATAAGGATGGATGAAAAGTCGCTTTGGTGGATACAAGGAGCAGCCAGGCCCAGGCCACTGCGGGCAGGGGAGTCCGCCACGAGGACAAGCCCTTTCGCACTGCCCTGGCTCGCGTTCCCGAGGCCCCCGGGCTGGCGGAGCAGCAGCGGGCGGGTGCCCAAGGCCAGCGGTGCTAAATGCATCACAATGGAGGTACTGCACCAGGCCGCGGAAAGCCCCTGGCGCCACCAGCCTGCCCCTGCCCTCCGCCGCCGGGCCTTGCAGGGCAAGGGGCTGCCCCTGTGCAGCCACGTGGCGGCCCGGCAGCGCCGCGAGGCCCCGCTGCCTCTGCCCGGCCCCATCCGGACTGGCCCGGGCGCTGCGGGGAGGAAGGGAGCCTGTTTTGCTCGTGGCTCTGAGAAACGCTGCCAGCCCCACGCATTGTCTGCGGCTCCATAGCAACCCCGGCCCGGCGCGGCCGGGCCCCGCACCTGTCCTCGGGCAGCCGGGAAGGCCTCCCCCGGGCCGCGCTCCGAGCCATGCGCCAGAAGCGGCTGACCACAGGTACGTGAGCCCCGCCGGCGAGCGCCCCTCGGGGCTGTGCCCGGAGGAGGGACCCGGGAAGCTCGCCCGGTGCCGCCTTCAGCCCGAAAAGCGCGGGCCTTCCTGCGGGCCAGGCTTGGGGCGAGCCGGCTTCGCTTCCAGCGTTGCCACTTCTCATCATTTTATCATCAGCCCCTCAGGCGTTGATGTTTATTCTTAAAACCTAATACCCGGCAGCCCTCGGATCATGCTAGAATCCGGGATTTCATTTAAAAAGCACATTCCTAGTCCTCAGGATTGCAAGGGGCAGTGGGGAATGTGAACCAAGAGTAGCCTAAACACCAGCCGCTCAGAAATCAATCTCATTATATTGGTGCTGCGGAGCAGGGGAACCTCATGATCTTTACCTGCTTGGGATTAGCCGCCCCATGTTTCTTTAGACTTTATTCGCTTTCCTCAGATCAGGTTAATTTGGAAACCTCAGGAAGTGTATTGAGGCCCATTGCTTGCTTATTTTCTGCACAACACTTGTTGATCTTGTGTGCCCCATCAAAGAGATTCCAGCAAACCTGCACTGAAAATGTATCAGATGAATAATATACAGTATTTTCTATTTATGTTTCAGAACCTCCAGATATAACGGAAGATGTTTTTGTAAGTATTTTTAATGAGCTAGTCATTTTTATTTTTGTGGTACTGTACAAAAAATAACAAGTGGTGCTAAACTAGTGCGTGTTGTTTTATTATTATTATTATTTCTCCAGCACAAAAGTGGGCATTGGCGTGTTACTCCCAGCAGGAGCATTGCTCCTTCTGATATTATTTCTTTAAAAAAACGAAAGAAAGAAACATAGGTTTTTTTGGTTTATTGGTGGTACGTCTTTTGTTTTTGCTTGCAAGTTTTGCTTGGACAAGAAGAAAACGTTGTGGCATTAGAAAAGGTGAAGCCATGAGTGACTGGTGCCTCCTGAACCTGGTGGGGGGACACCTGCAGAAGCCACTGACCCTGTCAGGGGGGTACCAGTCCTACTGACAGCATCAGTATCGGCTGTCAGGAGGGGCACGTGCACCCCTGTGCACCCCCTACCAGCCACCTATGGGTGAAACAAAACATTGATGAAAGTAAGAAAGCAAGATAAAGATGCACAATGGCCTGGAGGAAGAAAGGAAATATGTCATAGATTTCATAGACATTAGGGCTGGAAGGGACCTTGGAAGATCATCGAGTCCAGCCCCCTGCCCCAGGGCAGGAAGTCAGCGGGGGGTCAAAGGATCCCAGAAAGATAACGTCCAAACATTTCTTAAAAGAATCCAGAGTAGGTGCCTGCACCACCTCTGGAGGGAGTTTATTTCAGGCCTTGGGGGCTCAGACAGTAAAGAAGTTTTTCCTTATGTCCAACCTAAAACAGTCTTGGAGGAGTTTGTGACCATTGGACCATGTCATCCCTTGGGGTGCTCTGGTGAACTTAACTGGAAGCTATGATTTGTTGGGGATGGATTCTGCAGAGCTTACTTCTACTTCACCTTTACTGTCCTCTGCTACCAACTCTGGTATAATAAGAATATAGGAGGATAGGACTGGAAAGGGCAGTCAGGTGTGGAGGACTATGTTCACAACTGCCTGTGAATATAGAGGACTATGTTCGCAGGCGGTTGTAAACCAAAGGAACCTCCAAAATCACCACTTCAAACTCTCAACTCCTGCTATGGGACATGATCTCTGAAATACCAAGAACACTCATGCCAAAGGAAGAGGGAGAGGAGAGGAACGTACTGCCAATGCCCCATCATTGCAACGGTAGAAAAGTAATTAGTTAATAGGATTTCCTCCATATTTCTCCCCCCATTTTATGGGCTTGTGTGTCTGCTTTTTTGTCTCTCACCATATGATAATTTAAACATTTCAACATAGGTTTGTTTTCTCTTTATGACTCCCCCATGCAACATGTATATTTTAAAACATATTTTCCTCTATCTCTTATTGGGACCTTTAGGTATTAATCTAGTATCAATAAATGACAGAATTGAAGTCAATCTCTGTTAAAAGTAAACTAAAAGTATATCAGGACATATTTATAACATCTTAACCTAAACCACTCCATGTGGATAGTTCCTTTTGATAAAAGGGGAGCTTCATTTGGGTGCATGTGTGGTTCACAGGACCAGGGTTTATTTATCCACTTTAAGACTTCCGCATTTAAACTGAGCACTTGACTTTTTTTTATTTGTGAGTGTTTTTCATTTTCAATAGAAGCTGCATTTGATCTGCTGTTCCCTAAAGCCTTACCAATTCTATCTGTGTTCAGACCCTCCTTGGGTATCTTATAACATCTCTGTATATCTGTACTAGCACTCTCACTGCAGTGACATGGAAAGGCTATTATATATAATAGATAGAGTGTCATCAGATATGTTTCCATACAAAATCTAAACAGGAATTTTACAGTGTACCACTGACAAAATGATTTCAATATCCTCTTCACTGCTTTAAGACTGACAGAAATAGGACCCTTGATACCTGTACTATATGCAGGCCAACCTCCCCATTACATCAGTGGGAGTTTTGGTTGCATAAATATTGTATATTCAGGCCCATTGGTAATGTATCCTGACTGCCTATTGAAATCATGAGACTCCTTTCAATAGTAATAACATGGAATGCTCACCAGAGAGCATACTAGGAGAAGGATTCAAAATTGCTATTGCCACAAAAAAATTAAACTGTTATATAAATAAAACTTCATAAACTATAATGGGTAAATATTAAATGTGTAAACTTTAAAAAAAATGCAAGTAAGGTTGATGGCTAAACGAGGACTGGAAAAGGGCCAATGTGGTCGCTATTTTCAAGAAGGGGAAGAAGGAGGATCCAGGCAACTATAGGCCAGTCAGTCTCACCTCCATCCTTGGCAAAGTCTTCAAAAAGATTAATAAGGCTCATATATGTGAGAGCCCAGCAGAAAAAATTATGCTGAGGGGAAACCAGCACGGGTTTGTAGCAGGTAGATCATGCCTGACTAATCTAGTGTCTTTTTATGACCAGGTTACAAAGCACCTGGACGCAGGAGTAGGGGTAGATATCGTTTACTTAGATTTCAGGAAGGCCTTCGATACGGCATCCCACCCCATACTGGTGAACAAATTAAGAGGCTGTGACTTGGATGATTGCACAGTCCGGTGGGTGGAGAAATTGGCTAGAGGGTCATACCCAGGGAGTGGTGGTGGATGGGTCGGTATCGACCTGGAAGGACGTGGGCAGTGGGTTCCTGCAGGGCTTGGTCCTTGAACCAATACCCTTCAGTGTCTTCATCAGTGACTTGGATGAGGGAGTGAAGTGTGCTCTGTCCAGGTTTGCGGATGATACAAAACTGTGGAGAGAAGTGAACACACCGGAGGGCAGGGAACAACTACAGGCAGACCCAGACAGGTTGGACAAATGGGCAGAAAACAATAGAATGCAGTTTAACAAGGAGAAATGCAAAGTGCTGTACCTGGGGAGGAAAAATGTCCAGCACACCTACTGCCTAGGAAATGACCTGCTCGGTAGCACGGAAGCAGAAAGGGATCTCGGAGTCCTAGTGGATTCCAAGATGAACATGAGTCGTCAGTGTGACAAAGTTATCAGCAAAGCTAACTGCACTTTATCGTGCATCAGCAGATACATGACAAATACAGCCAAGGAGGTGATACTTCCCCTCTATCGGGTGCTGGTCAGACTGCAGTTGGAATACTGTGTGCAGTTTTGGGCACCTCACTTCAAGAAGAATGTGGATAACCTGGAGAGGGTCCAGAGAATGGCCACTTGTATGGTTAAGGGTTTGGAGGCTAAGCCCTATGAGGAGAGACTAGGGCACCTGGACCTCTTCAGCCTCCGCAAGAGAAGGTTGAGAGGGGACCTTGTGGCTGCCTGTAAATTCATCATGGGGGTGCAGAGGCTGTGCTCACCAAGGCACCCTTGGGAGTCACAGGAAATAATGCCCATAAACTATCAGAGAGCAGGTTTAGACTGGACATTAGGAAGAACTTCTTCACAGTTAGAGTGGCCAAAATCTGGAATGGACTCCCAAGGGAGGTAGTGCTCTCCCCTACCCTGGGGGTCTTCAAGAGGAGGTTAGATGGGCATCTGGATGGGGTCATCTGAACCCAGCACTCTTTCCTGCCTATGCAGGCAGTCAGACTCGATGATCAATTGTGGTCCCTTCTGACCCTAACATCTATGAATCTATGAAATGTAATGGAAAATTTTTATTGTGTTCTCATATTATTTAAAAATTGCCCAAATACATTCAGTAAGTGGCAAAAGCCAGTGTTAATAGTGTAGTAAGATTTTTATTGATTAATGAATGAGTTCGTTTGTGTTTCTTGCTGTTATATAGGACTATAGAGAACATGTACTTGGCAAACAAAAACACATGTACCTGCATATTTATAGGGTTTCTAATTTAGCTAGTAATTAATAGTTTGTTTCAAATAGTTCACTTGGAGTAGTGAAGTGAATATTAAAGTGAAGGGAATATTACTGTTAATAGTGTCATATTTATCCAGCCACCATCAAATCTATTCAACTGCACACATTTGAAATGTGGCACCAGCCTGTTTCTAACAAAAAGTTTTCACATCAAGCATGTGCACTAATGCATTGCTGAACTGGGAGCTTCAGGGCTTGATAAAAAGTGAAGTCAGTTACTAATTTCACTCTAAAGTGCTTGGGCTCAAGCTTTCTGATCCCAATTCTTCCATTTGGGATTATCCTAAATTCTTTGGGTTGTACCCACTCATGTTCTTTCTAGCCTTGATTGAGGGTGCACAAGAAGCCAGTGCAGAGCTGAGTGTGACCTGGTGTCTTAGTTGAGGCAGTGTTCTTATTCTGTATACCTTGCACCAAATGCCACTCCCCATTTGCACAGATTTCATTGTCATGGAATAGCAGGCAAAATTTTCCCTTGTAAGAACCATAGCAATGCCAAGTAGTCGATTTTTTACTTTGACCCATGTTAACAGACAGCTTTTAAGGCCAGAAATAACAATATGTTTAAGAAACTGATCTTATAAATTAGATGGGATTCTTTCTGATAAAGTTCATAGTACTGAAAAAGCCAACAGAATATACTTTGCTCCCTCTGAAATGAATAGGAATTTTGCCATTGACTTCAATGGAAGCAAGACTGGGCTCTGTACTTAGTGATCTGGCAAGCATGAGAAGAAAATAACAAAATCTGAATTGTATTTCACTGGTGCCCTTTGTATTAGAAATAATAAAGTAAATATATTAACCGCGAACACAGGGCTCAGTCCTACTCCCAATGAAGTCAGTGGAAAAACTCCCAGTCTGGGCAGTCACAAAATCTTGCATACTATTATTTGATATTGTGGGACAAATTGTGAACTGGCCAACTCCCTTTTATTTCTCCGTGCCAGCTACCCCGCCACTGATCGTGGTGTGGGAATGAAGCAGGCTCCACAGAGTTGGAACATTCCTTCTCTCCCTGGTACAGATGGTAGAGACCATGTAACCAAGTTGAAAAATATGGAGACTACTTGCAGATGTTTTTTCCCCAGGAAAAATATGCATATTTTAAGCATTTATAAACCTTTAGTTTTTCTAGTTTTTTATCTGCAAGTTCCTTGACAGAGGACTTATATTAATATGCATTTTGTGCAGTGCTGCCCACATCACTGATGTACAGTGAATTAAAAAAATAATGTAGATAAAGTGCTGTTTTTGCCCAAAAGTTTTCATTACATATTCTGACGCAATTTATTGTCTAGGACAATAACAAATAGATGTTAACATAGGTTACTGTTAACATTACCTTGTGTTTTTTATGTTCCCACAGGAAGATTATTTAACGACAGACGATATGCTCGTGGACTACTTCAATGAATTCTTGAGTCTTCCAGTAAGTACATTGTAACAATCTCTTATGAAACTCAAGAAAAATCCTTATTGTGACTACTAATAGGTCAGACTATCTAACAAAACCTTATATTCTGTTACCTTTTTGGTATTGGATTTTTTTTGTTTTTACATTTTTAAAAGCTCAGTTTCAATGGTATTCTCTCATTTCTTTAGATGTTATTCTCAGCAAAGCTCTGCTCATGTCTAGATTTATATCTTGACTTCTTGGGATGCATTTCTCTTGTCTCAAGTAGATTTATACATGTACATGCAGGGCATCAAAATAATACAAATTAGATATGAAAAAGACACGTTAATAATTATGCAAAACACCTCAAGTCAGATCACTCCTATTTAGTGGATGAGGCTGACTTATTTTAGTCATTCATACTTGCAGATATTGGTCTGAATACATCTCTCTTTTAGTGATTTTGGAGTAAATGCCACCATGAATCAGCTCCACTGGTTTGATTTAGAGTTAGCTTTGCAGTTGTTCTCACACACCAGTGAATTTGTTCACAAGTAAATTGCTATGAGAGTAGCTGTTTTTGTGAGGCTAATTATCCCTGCCTCTCAGGCCCCTGAAACATTTTGGTTAAGATGCGACTAACAGGTTAATCTCTCCATAAATAGTAACCTGGCTACATGTTCAAGTCAGTTGAAGATATGATAATACAGTAAATGAGCCACAAAGTTATTCCACATGTAACATGTAACAACTTTGTGGCTTGCTTGTATTGTGCCCTAAATTAAACATGTGGCTGGTTAGGGCAGACCCATGACAGATCCCAGCACTCAGCTGATCGTTGGTATCCAGCATGGGACGGCCCCAAGGTCCAAGACACAGCTGTTCTGGTACTTTCCAAACCTAGTGTGTTGCCTGGTTGAGCAGCACATGGCATTTTAACTTGATCCCTGTGCACTGGGATCTGTAAAAACTGTGCTATCCAACTGGGTAGGACACGTGTTTTTATGTCTCAGTGCATGAAAACTCTGGGATTAGGCTGTGGCAGGCTGGTCCTAGGATCCCCATGTGCTGAGACCCTTAAAGCTCCATGTGGGGTCCAGTTTAGCAGTACATGCTCTTAGCCCCATGTGTCAGGACCTGTAAAAACCCCAGCTTGGGTTTTAATAATCAGCTGATTGTTGGCTGGGGACCTGACTGTTACTGGCTTCAGATCCTTGTTGATCAGCTGATTGTTGGCCTCTGGATTTCAACTTGCTGGTGCAGTGGGAGCCTGGGATCATGATAATATTCCAGGCTCGCCCTGCACCAGTAAGTGTGGTACAACAGAGATCTAAATCCTGGTCTCAAAATTGTGTGTCGTGCCATGCGCATGTGGCATGGCAGAAGGCACAATTGTTGGGACTGTGGCTTAGATACATTGTTCTTTAAACTGAATATCTGTCAGAGGACTCGGCAATGGTTCCTCTCCTTTTGATTAGAGAAGCAGTCCAAGAAAGATCTGGTGCAGAGATGCCCTCTGAGGAGCAGAGCCAATTAGTCTGGATGCAATACCACATGAACACAACTCTGCTGCAGTTTGGGTACTAGTGGGTGTGTCTGCAATGTACTTTAATGTGCATTAGCCTATTTTATTGCACATTAAAGCATCACTAAAACCATGCTTTTTAGTTAATGTGCATTAAAATAGGCTAATAGGCATTAAGCATCACTTAAAAACTATGGGCATCTATACACGTGCTCCGGGGGTGCTTATGTATGTGTGTGTGGTTGGGGGGGGCGGGGCCGCTTTAATTAGAGTGGTTCTGAGAGCATCTCTTGTACCAGTGTCTCTGTGCTTCAAAACGGCAGCAGGGGTGCTTTATCTAAAGCTCATTTGACAAGCTTCAGATAAAGTGCTCCGCCACCATTTTGAAGAGTGGGAATGCTAATACACGAGTTGTGGAGGCTGGCTGGAGCATGGTAATTACCATGTTCCAGCAGATTCAATTGAGTCTACTCTGATGTGCTGTAATTACAGCACGTCAGAGCAGCCTCCATGTTTGTGTATAGGCACCAAATGCTCTTTAGTTAATGTGCATTAAGTAGGGGTGCACCGATAGAAATTTTTGGGGCCGCTGCCGATATTTAAGGAGGGGTGCACCGATAGAGATTTAATGACCAATACCCATCCGATTTCCAATACAGCTGCCTCCAGCTGGTAAGTTCAGTGGAAGGGGGAAGGAAGGGGCATGGGGGGCAGATCAGTGCCCCCCATGATGAAGGAGGGGGCAGGGGCAGGCGCTGTACAGGCAGGTTGGCGGGGTGGAGCTGTGGCTTATGGAGGGGGAGGTGACTCCTGCTGCTGCTGCTTGCACTCCAGGAGGGCACGGGGGGGTGTGCCCTCTGGATCTGCGTGGGGCGGGGTGGGCAGGCTGCAGTTGGGGCTGCACGGGGCTCTTCTCGGCAGGGGCTGGGCTCGGAGCAGGTGCCAACGGTGCTGGGAGGATGCTGCATCGACCCCAAATTTCGCTGCCACTCCACTCCCAGTGCCACTGCAACAAGCCACCCGGCACAGCCCTGTCTCAACACCCCACCCACCAGGAAGAGCCAGTGCTGTGCCAGGCAGCTGGTAGCACAGTGCTGGGAGTGCAGTGGCAGCGAAATTTGGGGTGGATACAGGATCCTCCCAGCACTGCCATCTGCTGCTTTGAGCCCAGCCCTGGCTGCAGCCTGGCCCACCCTGCACAGATCTGGGGGCACATGCCCTCCCAGGGTGTGAGCAACAGCAAGAGCCGCCTCCCCCTCCTCCCTATGAGCCGTGGCTCCTCCTCCCTGCCCCACCTGGCCAGCGCATGCCCCTCCCTCACCATGGGGGGCATCGATCTGCTCCCTCCCTGACGCCCCTTCCCTCCCCGCTCCCCTTCCACTACACCAGACTTACCAGTTGGAGGCAGCTCTCCATGTTGCTGGCTGTGCTCCTCACTGTCCGAGTGCTGCACTGCAGTTGCATGCAGCACAGGTATTTATCGACCAAATTATTGGCCCCATTGGGCTGATATCCAAGAGAGCCAGTTTTCTTTATATCTCTACCGATCCAATATCAGACTGATGTATCGGTACACCTCTAGCATTAAGACAGGCTAATGTGCATTTTCCTGGTACCTCACAATATAGAGTGCCTGTACACGAGTGCAGAGCCTACTCCGATGAGCTGTAATTACAGTGTGTTGGAGCAGACTTGATTAATTAAGTCTGTTGGAGTATGGGAATTACTGCACTCCAGTAGCCTCCTGCATTTTGTGTATCAGTGTCTGTGTGCTTCAGAATGGTGGTGGGGGGTGCTTTAAGTAAAGCTTGTCAAACAAGCTTTAGTTCAAGCACCCCTGCCACCAGTTTAAAGTGCAGAGATGCTGATACTTTAGATAGTTTCATAGTTTCTAGGGTCGGAAGGGACCTGAGTAGATCATTTAGTCCGACCCCCTGCCATGGCAGGAAAGATTACTGGGGTCAAACGACCCCAGCAAGGTGTTCATCTAATCTCCTCTTAAAGACCCCCAGGGTAGGAGCCAGCACCACTTCACTTGGAAGTTGGTTCCAGATCCTAGCCGCCCTGACCGTGAAGTAGCGCCTCCTGATATCTAGCCTAAGCTCCTGATATCTAGCCTAAATGGTGTGGTGCTTTAATTAGAGCAGCTCTCGGTCAACCCAGGAGCATGTGTAAAAGCTCCCAGAGGTACTAGAATTAATGGTTTTTAACAAAAGCACATTAATACACATACAGGCATGCCCAGTGTGTGCAGAGCCAGCTTCAGTATCTTTATAGAATCATAGAGAAGTAGGGCTGGAAGGGACCTCCACAGTTCACTTAGTCCAACCCTCTGCCAGAGGCAGAATCATCCCTATCCAAACCATCTTATACAAATCCATAGTCTAACTTCCTAGTAAAACTACAGTCAACCCAGGCACAACACAAGACATAACACCTTAATCTGCCACAGATAAAGCAGAGGTCCCAGTAGCTAACATCCTGCTGCTGCAAAGTTTGTTAAAATACCCTTGAGAGATCCCCAGAAAAGGGCCTGTAGAGGAAAGCAAAACCCTCCACAGTCTGTACCAATCTGACTGTGGACTAAAAATCCTTCCTGACCTCAAAATACAGTGATCAGTCTGACCTTGAGCAAATCTTTGCCACTATGAGCTGTGCCATCTTTGTATACGTCTGCCTTGCCTTGTGTAGATATACCCTAAGTTTCCATTGAGTTTCCTCCAGATTGTTCTGTCAGAGGGGATGGGTGGGAAAGGAGTCTGACCCCCTAAACTTTGTATGACCTTGGATGTTCATGAATGTAAGAAACCCAGTGGAGGCCAGGACTATCTGTGACAAGATGCTGTGGTGTCACTGGGCTTCCCACCTCCTGTCTTGTCACAGTGTGTGCATGAATGCTGAGTCATTATGGGATTGACAGTGCCATAGAGTCTATGTTCCACATTTATTCTAAGTAGATTTTAATGGAAACAGACTATTTATTAAATGTTTTTATTAATAATGGTCTCATTGCTTTTATTTTCTCTCTTGATTTTCTTGCAGAGGATTTTCATTTTTCAAAATTAAATTCCATTAATACCTGGAATACTGTGGTCTGAATGCTTTATATTCCCAACTTTCCTCTTCCTCTCAGAACACTTTCATTAAAACATTGCACTGAAAATTCCATCTTTTTATCCTTGTTGTGATTATATAGCCGTTGCCTAGAAACATTATTACCCAGGTGTGTTAGTTGTTAGGCAACAAGTTAAACTGAAGAATATTGTGTGACTTAATGCAACAAATCAGAGGTAGCATATGCTTAGTTTAAGAGGCTGCCTCTTTTGATTTATAATCCACCACCAGTGTATGCTAAAATTACAGTATTAGGGACTCTGTGTGGAAACTGAATTATATTCTGCTGTAATTTACAGTGCATCTTTTAAACAATCACGTTATTGTAATACTATTCAGATTTTTTCTGACATGAAATGATACTTACTTTAATGAAAGGTAGGTCATAAGGAAA